ACCGCCCATCTCTCTCTCCTCCCCCAAAACCGCCCATCTCTCTCCTCCCTCAAAACTGCCCATCTCTCTCCCCAAAAAACTGCCTATCTCTCTCCTCCCCAAAAATTGCCTCTCTCTCCTCCCCAAAAACCGCCTATCTCTCTCCTCCCCCAAAACCACCCATCTCTCTCCCCAAAAACTTCCCATCTCTCCCCCCAAAAACTGCCCATCTCTCTCCCTCCCCCAAAAATCGCCCATCTCTCTCTCCCCAAAAACCGCCCATCTCTCTCCTCCTCCCCCAAAATTGCCCATTCCTCTCTATCTCTCTCTCTAGCTAGATAAAAATGTGAAGATGGAGCTTGAGATGAAACCCTAACAATCCTCAGATTCAATGACCAAGAGGCACCAAAAACCCATCTATTAAATCTCTTTCATCCAATATCTTATTGATTGAGTTGCAACTTAGTAATCCACCAGAAAACAAATAACAGGAAAACCAGGCCCAAATTATTTAGATTAGCAATAATAGGAGAACTTGGAAAATGAAAGGTACTGGGAAAGTTGGATGCAACATAGAGGAATACCTGTTGAAATCAAGGAGGAATCAAGAGATGTTTACTATTATTTTAGAAATGTTTTTTCCAAACACCGCCCGTCTCTCTCTCTTGCCCAAGAGGGTTGACTTCGGGCTTTCGGGCCAATTATGGGTCTCTTCGGCCCAGCCCGAGAACATTGTGGCCCGAAGCCAGCCTGAACCTAGTAAAGGCCCGAAAACCAGAGGCTCGGCCCGGACCGTTGGCACCCGTAATCACAATCAATGGTCTAGATTTAATCACTATCATCTCTTGGTTGATTCAAATCCAATTTGCCCCCATTTCTCAAATTAAAAAGTTCCCACCAATTGAATTTAATTCAATCAAAATTTGATTTAGAGTCAAATTAATCATCTCTTACAAAATTGCCCATGGAGCAGTGTGCTCCATGTGGGTGAGCATCCTACTATTTTGTTGTTTGCTTGTTAAATTACGATACATATTTTCGATATCCTTAATTAAAGGAGTCGCACATAGGGGTTATCTTCTATAGGGTTTAATATTCTTTATTATAATCTAAATTCTAAAGCTTGTGGTCATGTGTGAATTACACATATCAAGCTATCCTTGATTTCATGGATTTTCCATGTGCATTTGAGAGAAATACCTATGTTTTAAATTATCATCTTAGAGTGGGAATAATTTGATCTAGCGTAAGGGGTATGGCCCTCTCTACACATATTCTCTCACACAATTAAGTTTTTATGGTGGCAAATTTGTCGTCGGTGAATAAATTGGAATCTGATCAAAATTTAAGTTGTGCTTAATTTCAATTGGTGAAAGATTTTGAAAAGTGGAGGGAAATTGGATTTGAATTTGGCTAAGGGATAATGGTGATTAAATCAAGATCTTTGATTGTGATAGCCAACTTGGGTTTGGAAGGATAGGATCAAGCCTATCTCAGCCCGTAGGATTTTTCTATCTATTGCTCTAAATGATCCTCTTGAAATGTAACACTTACCAAAGCCTATATAAATAGGAGGCTTCCCTCTCGCTCTTGATAATGCTAGTCACCCATAACCAAATTATGTTCAACTAGAGAGAGAAAGAGTGACCTATGAGAGGCATGCCTGTAACATCTTTGTACTATTTCTTCTTGCCATATATGATCCCACAATCGTCAATAATTCCATGATAGTTTAGCCCCCTTCAAGCTACATCATCTCCAAATTTATGGGCTTCATCTTCAACTGCAAATCACATCATCCATGCTCAATTTTTTTTCTGTAACCTTCAATTACAGCAAGGTATTTTCAACGTATTTTCACTTCATCTTCTTTTTATCAAATTTTCAAAGCCTAAATCATGCACCCACCATCCCATTCCTTGCTTTTTAATTTTGCCTCGAAATTGGCCTATTTTATTAACCATGCACCTACTATTTTCTCGCAATCTCTTTCTGCACCATATCAGTCCACAAAGAGCTTATAGAATGTGTTTTGTGGTTACATTTTTGCTTTCCATACATGGTGCAGAAATTATTCGCAAAAATTGTTAAATAACAAACACTATGGGAACACAATGTTAGGAGGAACCTTTGACATAAATGAGGGCGGAGGTCATAGATACATTTGCAGTATTAATATATCTAAAGTGAAGAAGCTTCGAGAAAGATGAAGATTGGAAAGGCTTTAGGACCAAATGGTATCTCGATAGAGGTTTAGAAATGCATGTGGAGATTGACATATGCTGGCTTACCAAGTTGTTCAACAAGGTGTAGAGAACAGAGAAAAAGCCAAACGAATGGAGAAAAAGTAATATAATACCTATTTACAAGAATAAAAAGACATACAGAATTATACGAACTATTGAGGGGTCATACTTATGAGCCACACTATGAAGCTGTGGGAGAAAGTGGTTGAGCAACGACTAAGGCGTGAAACAAGTATATCAGAAAATCAGATCGGTTTTATGTCAAGGAGGTCAACTATCGAAACCGTTTTCCTACTTAGGCAACCGGTTGAGAAGTTTAAGGTGAAGGGAAAAGACCTCTACACGGTCTCTATTGATTCTGAGAGAGCATGCAATAGTGTACCTTGAGATTTAATATGGGTTGGATTGGAAAAGAAAGGGTCCCCAAGGGCTATATCGACATAGCGAGATATGTACGAGGGAGCGCTAACGAGTGTGCGAACAACTAGTGGAGACATACGAGTCTTTAGTGACAATTAGCCTACATCAGGGGTTAGCGCTGAGCTTGTTTATCTTTATTTTGGTTATGGATGAGTTAACCAGACACCTACAAGATAAGGTATTGTAGTGTGTGTTTTTCGCAGATGACATAGTTTTGATCAATGAGACTAGAGGCGGTGTAAACACAAAGTTTTACTTTTGGAGGGATGTTTTAAAATCTAAAGGCTTTAAAATTAGCTGGACTAAGACAAAATCTATGGAATGCAAGTTTAGTAATAATAGGAGTAGAAATGAGGAAATAGTCAAGATTAATGATCAAGAAATACTTAAAAGGGCTTGTTTCCAATATCTAGGGGTAATGATCTAGGAGAATAGAGAGATTAAATAAGATATTGCACATAGAATTAGAGTTGGGTAGGCGAAGTGGATCTGTGCATGCGGAGTTTTATGTGATCGCCACATACCATTGTGACTGTACTATATAAATTCTTTCATTTAATAATTTTAAAAGCATCATGAGTCCCTGAGGACCCTTAATTTTCCGGTAGCTTTGTTCCTTATGTCTATGGGATTTTCTTTGTAAATTGTTCACTCTATGCTTTATATTCATTTTGATGAATAGATAATTTTTATTTTTTTGGCTCAAAGCTTTTTCATCAAGGATTCTTTTGGAAAGTTTGGTCTTTCGATTTTTTTATTGCCTTCTCTTTTCATTTGATATCCATATGCACTTTTTTCTATATTTATGCTCTGAGCTTCTATCTGTAATTGACTTACATTGCTTTCTTAAGTACAGTCTCCAAATGCACTTGCAGCTTTACCTTTTCATACAATGGAATCGCACAATGAGAAGTAAGTGCCTTGGTGACTAGTGTAAAATCTCTGTTATTTTTATTTTTTTTCGATTGCTCTTTCTACTCATTGTATTTGCCTAATTTTTTTCTCTGAAGACTGACATTACTTTTTCATCAGTTTCATTGAAATGTACCTTAGACCACCATCTGCACATGAGGCAGCGAAGATCAATGATTGGATAAAGGTTAGGCAGTCTGGTATCAGATATTTTCTGTCACTAGGGGATCAGAGGATTGTTGATAAGAGCTACATTATCCGGCCAAAAGCTGAGTTTGAGGTGTGTCGAATCTTTTAATTGCTCGTGAAATATTTATGTTTGTTAAACTAGTACATAGATGAGTGCGGTGCATTAGTTTGGTATGGTTGTCCAGTTAAGTTTGAGGTCATTTTTCTGTATTGCTTGAGGGTCTTTTGAAGTTAGTGAACCAACTTCTGTGATGAGTTGCAATAGATGTTAAATTTCTGGGGCTTTTTTGATGGAAAGATAACCGACACACATCATATACTGGGAAGTTTTCTACTAGAGTACACAATATGTGTGTCTATATTAGGGACATATCTTCTTTGAAGTCAAAATTATCTGTTCTTAGAACCTAGAGTGATGTTCTTTTTCACATATTCACATAAGATATGTTGGTCTAGTTACATACAACTATATTTCTTTATAACTAGAAGAATTGCATCATTTGGAATGCTGCAACTCTTGACCAAGCGTCATTATTAAAGCATCTGTGGAAATTATGGTTTCATTGTAAATTTCTGCATTCATATATTGATTTTTCATACAGATACGATCATCCTAGATTGGTTTATGCCAATTTTTTGTTGTCCCCAAAATTTTCATGGGGAATTATCTGTCCACTCAACAAATCCTCCTGGTTAGATATGATATGTCGGGAGATCAATAGGGTTGGTTCTTGTGTCATGGTCACCTCATTACTTTTTTTTTAGATGTGATCTTCTTCTAGAAAATTTGCTGCTATACATTTTGTATATCCGCCGGCCTTCTATCCATGATTTTCTGACCCTGACTCATTCATCTGAACTTATGGAAACTGATATCCACTCTATTGCTTGTGTTTATCTTAAATACTTTTTACTTCTCTATTTGTTCATTTATGTATCATTTTTAATTTGACATGCCTTTACTTTCTAAGCGCTCTCTGCTTTTCTTCTACATTCTTTTCTTGATTGAACTTTCCTGTTATAGGTTGGACGGATGACTCTAGGTGGATTGCTTGCTCTGGGTTATACTGTTGTGGTCAGTTTCAAGCGTGCATCCACTACAATAAATACTGGCAAAGTTTCCATATCGCTTGAGAGCATTGACATTCTTGGTGAGAAGTTTTTGGTGTTGAAGGGAACTGATAGGAAGGTACATGCCTTTTAGATGTTTGTGGAAGCATTGTGATGTTTGTTATTTTTTCCTGCACTGATTAGGACATCTGATTATTCAATAACAGAAATTCTTTTTTCCCCCAAAAAAAGGGACAGTTTTTGGGTGCCTTGTTATGTATCCATTATATCATTTGCTTTGATACTGGATATAGGTGTATCCCTTCATTTATTTCATGCAGAGTGTAACATGTCATTGTTCCATGATTCTGAACTATTTCTCTATGCCTTTTCTCCCTGTCTGATAACAATTAAGGTTGAAAAGCTTCTATATAGGTGATTGGAGTTGAAGCTTCCACATTGGGTGTGAAGGGTCCATGGATTACAAAGTCATATCTGGAAATGATTCTAGAACATAAAGGTATTTCTCAGGGCATTTTGTTTGCAGTCATTATACTTTTCTAGGTGTTCTTGTACATGATGCTTGCTCAATCCTGCATATATGAGGTGCTTATCTGGTTCATTACTTGAAGGTGTGCCACGTCTTTGTACGCCTCCCCCATTGTCCACTACATCTTCAGCAGGGGATCCTCGTGAAAGGGGCATTATTGTCCCTAAGCCAATTCGTGTGACTTCATTTCAGACTCAAAAGATTTCTGAACTGGTCGAGCCTTGGACTCGGTCTCCAACAAAATCTGAAATGGAGCCTGTAGTAGCCCCCATGAGGTGGCATTTCATCTCCCAAGGTATGTTGCAGGCACATGGCACAGGTTGTGACTTATCACATGAATGTTTTAAATTTTTTCTATTGAGTTTTACATGAAGTAAAATTTTAGGTCAATTGCTTTTCTCTCATGCTCAACTTATCTTACTTACGGTCCTCTCTTAAAGCTGTTGCAGAATCTTCTGCTTCAAGGTATGCCATTCAATTAGCTCCAATGCCAGATTCATATGACTTGGGTAGAGGCCTACATCTTGCTATTCAAGCTATCCAGGTCTCATTATGGCTATATTCATAGAAGGCAAATGCTACTAGAATGTTTTGAAGATCTATGCTTCAGAGATTTTTCTCAGGTTTTCATGTTTACCTTTTGTTTTCCTTGATGCAGGCACTTTTAGAGGCGAAGGGGCTTCCAATTATTGTGGGAATTGGTACGAAATATTCTTTTGTTATTATCACATATTTTTATTTTACCTTGGTTTTATCTGAACGAAATTTGAGCAGATATCAATTTGTAATGTTCCTTTTTAATTTGAATGGGTGTTTACATGTGTTGTTTTATGTCTGTTTGCAACTAAAGGTTTATCCATTCATTTTTTTTCTTTTATATATTCAATGAAGGTCAGACAATTGTCTTCTTTTCTTGCATACGAATTGATGAGACTGAATGTCGTTATTTGGGATAGAGACTTCTTGTTCGACTATAGTTTGAAATTAATTGATTGTTGTTCCAGCTCGCTTCTAGTGACTCGCTTCGGGCTCTTGGCCTTTTTTTCGAGAAAACCTATGAGTAAGCTTCCAGAAAGAAGTGATTGCCGTCGTGGGAGCTTTGATGGTTATCAACTTTCTATTTGATACTTCATGTCTTTTTTAGCTTCCTTACCTTTTGGATCACTTTTAGGCTACTCCATTTTCTGAGGTACCTGATATACAGGATATATTTGCTCATTGTCCCACAAGAAATACTTTTCTGCAAATTGTAAATATCAAATTGTGTTCATATAAACTTATAAACATGAAAAGCAAATGAATGACCAACATCATTCTAAAATCTATAATGTCAAATGTCAATAAATCTAATCCGCAAAGACTGTGAGTCACTAAGCAGCTAACTAAGAATCTAAGATGCCAAAATATGGATATGGTTTTGGTCATGGTTAGGGGGCAGGGATATGACCTAACATTTCTCAAAATCTTGGTTATGAATACGATTATTCTGTGCAACACATCGCTACTGATACGTGTGATAACTTACATGCATATATCACATATCTTTGTTATAATGTAGTATGCTGTTATCTTTTGTTTGGATATATAAAATAATATCACAGCCTATTCTATCTCATTAATGTGATTCACATGCAAAGAATGTATGTTTGGTATTTCAACTTGCACATTATATCACCTTGTTCTATATTCTCCCCTGGACTTTGCTCTAAATTCTTCTATATTGTACGTTTTTTGGAATGGAATGAATGTCCTGAGTAAATGTGAAATAAAAACTTCTAGTTATTTCAATGTGTGTGTGTTTGCATACAGAAATCTGTAAATGCTTTTTGGTTGATCGCTATACTGTTTACATTTCTTTCTGATTGCAGGAGGTCCAAGTGGATCAGGAAAAACCAGTATGGCTCATAAAATGGCAAATTTTGTTGGTTGTGAAGTCATTTCTCTCGAAAGCTACTATAAATCAGAACACATGAGGGACTTGAAATACGATGACTTCAGCTCTCTAGATTTAGCCTTGCTTTTGAAGGTAGCCTTGGGGCAGGGTATAAAATAATCTTTGCTCTTTCTTTAGTTGTGATAAAGTGTTCTGAATTGACAGCTTACTATTTCCTGTTAATGCTATTGTTTTAAAGTTTAAAAAGCCCTTTCCTGGTTATATTGTTAATTCTGGGGATCTCTTTTGCAGAATATTGATGATATAAGAAATCGTCGCAGTACAAAAGTTCCCTCATTTGATTTTGAAAACTGCACACGGAGTGGTTTCCGAAACCTTGAAGTTTCTGAGGATTGTGGTGTGGTACGTTTCTGTATTTCAGTCACTAGGAGATATTGTGTTGTTGTGTTTCTTTTGTCTATGTTTTGCACTAAATTTCTCATAAAATTTTAGTGGGAACTTGGACGTCAATCACAACTTCTTGAACTATAGAAGGTAAAAGATTAAAAAAAAATGATTATTGTCGTTTTTGTGCATTATGGTGCCTATAATGGGTGCTTGATGATCCAATGGGGATGAAATGAAGCTTTTCTTAAAGAAGTGCAGGTTTTGGTGTTCTCACAAATGAAATTGTTAGCTATTCAGTTGATGGTCCTTTCGTGAGGTTCATGCAATTCATGGCTACTGCAGTGTTTTCTTGGTGAATAAGTTATTGTTATGCAGATTATATATGCAACCTTTCCTGTTATCCAGGTTATTCTTATGCATTGATAGTACATTAATCTATATGAAAGGTACGATTGTGTAGAATTCCAGAGCATAAATTCAAAAATTTTCTTTTGTTTCTTTATTAATAGCTGGAATTTCTATTTACAGTTGCCACAATATAATGCAGAAATAAACGTATTGCAGTCTATGATCGTTAAATCTTGCCGCCAAAAAAACCTTTATTTAAAAATCAACTTGAATTTTATGTAGTGTTTCAAAAAGCGCTAGGCAGCTCCTAGGCGGTCTGGGGGGGTCCAAGCCGCCCAACGCCTAGGCTGGCGCCCGGAACCTGGGCGGCCCAGTGGTATTTTTTTGTTTTTTTTTGGGGTTTTCTCTTTCTAAAATAGCCTCTAATGGGTTTTAGGCTTCAAATGAACCTAAAACCCATAATTTTACCCTTTTAGTATTAAAAAAATGACTCAAAAATACCCTCAAGAAGTCGCATTTCCGACCCTAGGCTGGGCGTAGGCCCTGGGCGACCGCCCGGGCGGGCGCCTAGGCGGGTTTAGGCAGGCGCCTAGGTGGGTTCCCGGGCGCTTAGCTGCCTAGGGATGGGCGATGCACCCAAGCCTTCTGGACTGCATGGGCGGGCGCCAGGCATTGGGCAGTCCGCTTTTTAAAACACTGATTTTATGACTTAGGAAACAATTAGTAATCAGGAGCAACAAAATAAATAAAATTGGGAATTTTAGAAACCTTATGCCCTGAATCTTGTGACCCCTATTCACTTCTAGATAAGATAGACTTCCATTTTAATTTGAATTCTGATCAAAGTAGGAGTCCTCTTCCAAGTAGGAATTCTAATCTAAATAAGACTCCTGATTACAATTAGGATTCTTTAAAGAAGTAGTATTTTATTACTCAAACTAGGAGTCCTAGTCTACGTAAGAAGCCTAATCTAAGTAGGACTCCTAATACAATTAAGACTCTTTAAACAAATAATATTTTAATATGATTCTAATCAAACTAGGAGTCTTAGTCCAAGTGGGAATCCTAATGCAAATAGGACACCTAAGATTATTGGGATGCCTCAAATAATAAAATAATATTTTAAATTCAATTTCGGGCATCCCTCTTTATGTGTGGGACATGTGGCCCTTCTGGGCCCCACTTCCCACCCTATGTGGTTCACATAAAATAAAATTTTAAAATTTTTCTAAAAAATCACGTAATCATAAATATAGTTGAAAAACAATATTTTTTGAGGTTCTTATAAAATTTAAAATGCACACAAAAATACCTCTAGAAGTGTACCAATAGGTAAAAAATAAATCAGTGTCGTGGCACTCTGCTCATGCCAGGATCCATGATCCACAACTCTCTTCTCAAATCAACCACCAGGATCCATGACCCATAGTCATGTACAACTGTCAATAAAAAGTGGAACCGCGATATAAATATATGGTTTACAGGTTTCCCTCCAAGGGCAAGTCAGATGCACATATCAGTATAGTGCAAGGGGGATTCTCTTCATGCACATGTATATGTCCCTATAGAGTTGCTTCTCAGAATTCAGTTGTCATATGTACATGCTGTGTGGAAGTTTGTTGAGGATTTATAGTTCTCGCTCTCACAGGCCTACAATCGTACATAGTAGACCACGAAGTTCTCCTAGCTTGCAAACCATCCTTAGGAATCTCTCAAACCTCAACAAGGGATAACCCTCTAGAAACCCTCAACAGTAGTGCTTATGCCCAAGGGAAAGGATTTTGGACAGGACTCGGGCACAAACCACCTACCCCTAGGTCAGCCAACCAATCATACACTCGTACTGAAGTGTACAATTAACTATATTTATTATATTTATATGCTCTCATGGATTTTAGAAGCTACAAACCCCAACATCTCCCACTTGGCCTTTGGAGGCTGTATAATCACTTCTGCTGCCTTTCTCTCAAGCCCATCCTATGTACTTGTTTGGCAAACACATTTTCCACTTATCCTTAAGTCAAAGGATCTGCTAATATAGCCTTTGTCGGGAGAAAAGCAACCTCAATATTTCCTACTTGGATCTCGTTGCGAATGTGGCAGTGGTACACTTTTATGCACTTGGATTTCTTGTGAAATCGTGGCTCTTTAGCCACACAAATTGTTGCTTGGTTGTTGTAGAAAATTGCCACACATGGGCACTTTATTGGATCAAATATGAGCTGATTCAGTAGCTTCTTTTCTAGATGGCTTCTTTTGCTGGGAGACAACAAGCCACATAATCTAGTCCATTGTCGATAGTGCAAGGATATCTGGTTTCCTTGAGCACTTGGAAACAACTCCACTGGCAAGTGTGAAGATATACCTTGATGTGGATTTCATTTCATCTGGATCCCCTTGGTAGTATGCATCTGGATATCCCTGTATCTGAATATTAGAGCTTCCTTCATAAGTAAGTGTGAGATTAACAATTCCCTTCAAATGTCGTAGTATTGCCGTCTAGTGCTCCATGTCTGGATTACTCTAGAACTTGCTAATCATGCTCATGGAAAAGTGATTTTCCATTCTCATCCCCAGCATAACATACATCAGCGACCCCACTGCCCTTATTTATGGCATTCTCTGTATGGCCCCTTTTCTTTTATACTTGTAGAACACATGACTAGGCTTAACTTGGTCTTCTTATCAATGGGGTCAGTATGGGCCTACAATTACCCATTTCCAATCTTTATAATATTTTCTTGCTGTATGTCCCTTGAGATAGCTGAATGATTCTATATCTTTTATTTCTTGTTATCTTGATCCCCAGAATATATGAAGCATCTTCAAGATCTTTCATATCAAAGTGTTTTTTGAAGAAAGGTTAACTTGTATTAAATATTAGAAAAGGAAAAAGCTTGGGTGAGCCCACTAGCACATGGAATAGTATAAGCCCAACGGCCCAAATTGAATCTGGGCCGATTTGACAAACACGGATGTTTGGTAGTGTTTGAATTTTAATTATTATTCTACAAATCCAAATCACTTGAAATTTTGGACGTGTGTTCTTCTCATCAAGTCGCACTTAATAGAAATATAAAAAAAAATAATTCGCGAAATGTTTTAGACCAAAATGCCCCCAAAACTTTTGGGGGGTATTTTGATCAATTTTTTCATGTAAAATATTTTTTTGATATTTTTAGAAGATTCACCTATTTTTGATGTACACACGTTCAAAATTTCAAATGATTTGGATTTGTAGAAAAAAAAATTAAAATTCAAACACTATCTGACATCCGTGATCGTTAGATCGGCCCAGATTCAATCTGAGCCGTTCGGCTCATGTTTTTCTGTGAGCTAGTGGGCTCATCCTAGCATCTTCCATTAGAAAATTACATAAGTAGAGCGAAAGAAGACGACAACCTACAAGTTAGGTGCTCAGAGAACAAACTAGAGGGAAGAAGAAGAAAAAAAGAAAAAGGAATCGAGGGAGACAAGGAGGACAATTTAAATGCGGCAAAAAGCAATAAAAGGTAAAACACTGTTGGTAGACTGTCGGACATCCTCAGTGGGGTTTTGGTTGATGAGCAAGCAGATAACCACTGTGGATCTGTTGCACTTTCTGCTACGTGGGCTGGTACATCAGGAGGCAGGCTGACTTTGGTTGCGGTTAGAGTAGCACTGTGGGCCGGTTGTGCGCCGGTAACTCAAGAGACAAGTTTGGAGGTAGCTAGCTCCCCTGAGGGGTCAAGCCATGTATGCAGCTTGGCAGAGGTCAGCAGAGGTAAAAGTGACCCTCCAGCGAGGGCTTTCTATTACAATCCCAACTTCAGAAGATAAAAACTTGGGCAGGACTATCTTCTATAGGCACTGCTATTACGAGAGGTTGGCTGATTATGGAAAAGACTGTAGTGGCCTTCCCTGAGGAGAGAAAACTTCCGTGAAGGACTTGGCAGCCATGGAATAGCTGCTGCTAAGCAAAGGGTCTTCAGTAGAGAGGCGAGAGGGTCTTCAAGAAATTAAGGCTTAGGCAGTACTGTCTTCGATGAGTACAACAACTTCAAAAGGCTAGCTCCAGAGGCTACATGCTGTTCGGTGGGTGGACCAAAGGGAAGTTGTAGAGACAATGGGATTGAAGATTTCTTTTGGTAATTCTCGTACTCTATATTTTTTTTTTGTGGGGGCCGGTAAGGGATAGAAGTTATGAGAGTATGAGTGGAGGAAGCACAAAGATAGAGAGGGTGGGGGAAGCTTATAAAGGCTAGAAGGGAGAAAGGATATGATTGTATATTAGGATAGGTAAGATGGGGGGATTATAGAGAAAGAGAATGTGAATGTTGAAAAGAAAGAGAAAGAGGAGATGGGGGGATAAGAGAGGAAAAAAGGTGTGGATGCAAAAGAGCGAGAGAGACAGAGAGAGAGAGAGAGGTGAGGCTAGGTGAGAAAGTATAAGAGGAAACAAAAGGAGAAGAGAAAGAGATAGAGAAAGGGGGGAGATAAGGTGGGGAGTTAAGTCACATAATTGCACACCTTTGTTGTCGAGGCCGATCTAGGATCTTGATCTCCTGATGGAACGGAAATGGAATTTTTGTAGCAAACTTAATGTTCCTTCTTTGTGATTCAGCAGTCAAAGCTACTGCAATGAGTGATGACATCCGCTAGAGTGGTGGACATGGGACGAGGATTGA